AAGTAAGCACAAGATGCCGAACACCCTTACCTTAGCAGGATGGAGCGCACCCTTCATGCGACTCGCCGAATACCTCACGACGCTTCGCGCTCGGTGATGTGAGAGCCTGGTCCGGTGAGAACCCGGCGTGCTCCGTCCCGGCTTTGTAGGGATGCGAGGTCAATGGTCTAACGACGCGTCTCGAAAGGGACGCGTGGTCAATGGTCAAATGACTACGGCAAGCAAATGAGTACGCCCCCCCCCCCTTCGTCACGAAAGCGACGCGATCGGCGGCCAATTCTCACTTGACCAGGGCAAGCAAACAAGAAGTAATCCCACCCGCACTCCCAGGCCCTGTGGGAACAATGCTCCACTCTAAGAACTGACCCGTGGTCAATGGTTCAACAACTGAGGCGTCTAACACGTACGTACGCCCCCCCCCCCCCCCCTCCCCTCCGCCCCTTTGACCAGATCGACACCTTTTTTGAGGAGATCAAGGGACGAGTGGACAAGGGATCTAGTCACCAGATGTACTCCGACCAAACTCCCAGCTCCGGTTCCATGGACGACGGCGACCCGACTTCGACCAACTTGTACCTGGGGAACCTGGCCCCCACGGTGACCGAGGAGGCTTTGCAGGTACGCCGAAAACTGCTGTTTTTCGTCGGTAAAAAAAGTAAAAATGTTTCACAGCAGTAGTTTGTTTTGTTATCTGTTATTTGTCGTTTCAATTTTTGCTGCTGCTGTTGCGGTTGATGATCAAGATTAAGGCCCTAGCACTCCACATGTGCCGACCTCCTTCGCGATTTTTTTTTCCCAACAGCAGTTGCAGCTCAACGATGCAGCGACTTGAAAGTGTACGCGTGTTTCTCTCATGTGTGATTACTTTTTCTGTCTGGCTATTCCTTATCGATTAAGTCATAGCACCGAGGGGCTTATTTATCGCTTCATACGATTTCGTTTTTGGTCGTTTTCTGCTTCGACCTGTTTTGGGATAAAATCGCATTGCTGAAACGCTTGTTAAGAATCGCGTGTCAGGAAGATGGTGATCCCCTGTCCGAAAAAAGAAAAACGCAACAAGTTGGAAGTTGACTTTTTTGTTTTCTTTTGCCCTCCGGCTGATGGAATTAACATGTAAATTGGAGAATATATTTTGCTCGCCATACTGCACCAATCGCACGGTGACAACGACTCGCCCTGGCTCCAATGGTGGGGAGTAGTGATATCATTTTCCAGAATTAAAAAAGTGTTCCTCTCTGTAGTTGCACGAGTGATGCGTCAAATTTATGGCGAAGGCGTTGAGTGATGAGGGATTAGACAGGACAATAAAATACAAAATACACACGCAAGGTGTTTCCCATTATTCAATTGTGAGAGGTACCAATAAGAACTTGTGTCTTGCGACCCACCTTCGTGCAAGTTCGCACGTGCGTGAAAGCGTGCCAAAAAGAAAAAAATACACGTACGGAGAATCGAACTCCGGGCGTAACCGTGGGAGGGTTACATGTTACCACTACACCACACGTGTTAGATGTGGACATGTGAACATTTCCGTCATCTAAATTATAACAAAAAGGCGATGGGTTCATCGCTAACTTGTCCTACACTCTTCATTCGTGGATGAGATAGATTCGCTGTATTACATGAAGCAAAAATAGCATAAAAAAGTTTTTACGCAAGCTTGAGGCGCTTCCTAAGCTATTTGCACAAAGAATGTGCAGTTTCCCATTCGGAAGAAGTATGGCACCCTGTCTTGCGAAGACGCTTCTTACGGTGTAGTCGATTTGTCTTTGGACCTGCTGGCTATGGAACGCGGCCGTTTGATTTACAACTCATCACCATTTTGTGTTTTTTTTTTCGGGGATCTCTCTGCACTGCTGAAAAAACGGGAATAGCAAACCCATCCGCCCGTAGCTGTGTGTATGGTGCCTCTTGGGGTATGATTGTTGGAGACCGCTACGCGCTGGGAGGCTGAGAAACTTAGTTGGCAAGGGTCGACTGCTGTTCGAAGAATGAGATGCCGCTTGCTGCTGTACACAGGGTTCTTGCCATGCCGCCGGTGGCTTTCTAGTTATCCCTCTCCACTGACCGAACCAACAGCAATGGCAGAGCTTTTTTTGACAGAGAGCAGTTGATGGAGGTCTTATCCTCAAGTTTTGGCAGGAAGGGTGATCTAGCGAGCGAGAGAATGGCCGTTTGTCCATGGATATGTATGTTCGTTTGGATGATGCTAAATATCTCTTTATGGGTCTGAACAAGCGGTGTGCGCGCCAAATGTGACCACCATTTTGCTCTTTGAGCACACCTGGCCACACAGCAACCACATACTAGGAAAAATACGTACGAACACAGGAAGACTACCCGTTCGAGATATACCCACAGCAGCAGTCGAACGGGATGTGGTGGAGTCTTTTCATTTTCAGTGAGTGGAGGAAAACCGGCTGGGTACTGGACTTAATTCGAGTCTATTTAAGTCTATACACTGATGATTTATACCAGTGATACCAGCTGGTGCTAAGTACAATACCATCCGTATAGGTAACTACATTTTACAATACATCCCCTTGATTCAATAACAGCATTAACTTGATTTGTGTGTTGTGCGCGTTTCCTACTGGGTCAACGACAAAATATCGGGGAGAATCCCTCCGTTATATCAACGGCTGGGATGGCAGCACAGCAGTACTCCGAGGATTGCTGCCGTGCAATAACAAATGTGCAACCGGAAACGTGTGATTTCCGACAGCTTAAGAAGTGGTTCTTGTCCAAAATCAGAAATTACACTTTAGTTTTTCTCACAAGTAAGGACGCTTAATGCGGGCACACATAAAACTCTGAGGCGAGCACTGCACGAGGAATAAATGTGGGGAGGAGCATTCGATACCAATTAAATACTGCAGTATGACCCCGATTCACACGTCAAACACATACACCGAGAGATTCGTAAATTGGCGCCAGAATATGCGTGAATAGATGAGACACACACCTCACTACAAAATGAATGACCAGAAACCATGATTTACATAGGTAAAATGTTGACAAGCATACGTGAAAAACACGTGTGGTGTAGTGGTAACATGTAACCCTCCCACGGTTACGCCCGGAGTTCGATTCTCCGTACGTGTATGTTTTTTCACGTGCGAGATTTTTTTCCGGACATTCTTGAAGCAGGGTCGAACATTTTTTTTACCTCTCACTTGGATACCGGAAATGTTGCCTCGTCCTCGTGGAACACGTTGTGGTGTGTGGTAACATGTGACCCTCTATGCCCGGAGCTCGACTCTCCGTACGTGTTGTTCCTTTTTGTCAAGGAAGCGCGAGACGTTTTTTCCGACCTGTTGATGTAGTTTCGCGACACGGGTGCCGCCGCCCTTTCCCTCGTTGACTCGTCTGTCCTCATGAAACTATTTCCGTCACATTTTTTTTTTTCCTAATATACGCTCATCAGAAGGAATCTATCTCTATCCACAGATGATAAATCCAAGATGTTTTGTTGCATTTTTTTTTTCACACCAGAAAGAGGATCGAACTCCAACCTGTCACTTGGTCATTCATTGGACAAATGGGGCGGCCAGCCTAATTTTTAAATACTGAAGTAACTGCTACCAAATCCTCTTGATTCTTTTGTAACCTTTTTTTAAAACGCGTGTTACATGAGCGAATGATCATGTTTTGGTCGAAAGAAGTTAAGTGTGCATCCGTTCCGCTATTCAATGTCCTATTTTCCTATATGGCCTAAACGAGCCCTACCCTTCCCCTCTCCCCTCCCTTATTTATGAGAACAAGCCCTAAGCCTCCCACCCTACGCCGTTCCCCTCTCCCCCCCCCCCCCTCATTCATCAAAACAAACCGTAACCCCTCTACCCTTTTCCTCTCCCCTACCCTCCCTTGGTCCATCAGGAGGCGTTTTCCCCCTTCGGCAAGGTGTACTCGATCAAGATCATGTGGCCCAGGACCGACGAAGAAAGAGCCCGGAAGCGGAACTGCGGCTTCCTGAGCTTCTGGCGGAAGGAGGACGCCGTCAACGCCAAGCGTGCGATGATGGACACGGACTTCGAGGGTGGGTTTTCGTCTGGGGGTGGTGGTGATTTTTTGTTGCTTAATGGTGGTGCCGCTGACACTGCTGTTTGGACCGCCTTCGCAGAGAATTAAGTATTGTGAGGAAGTACAACAGGGAGGGGGCACGCAGAACATATCCCTATTCCCTAACCCTAACCCCAACTTCCCCCGATTGCATGCTTTATCCAACATGTTTCCTTAGTAGTACAAAAACCCTGCGAAGTCTACCGCACTGCTGTTGTTGTCCCTGGTGATGAGACGAAATTTCGAGGCTGAGGAGAAGTCGGCTGCCACCATCTGTTTGCTGGCGTCGTGTGTCCGTGGCGATGACACGCACTTTGGAGGCTGAGTTGGCCGACACCATTATGATTTTGCTGCTGTCCCTAGTGATGAATAAAAAGATCTAGGCTGAGAGAAGAAGTTGGTAATGTGCCGGATCTGGTGACATTCTTGGAGCGCTCCCCCCCACCCCGACTGCGAACCCCCACGTGGAACGGACGGACTGATTGTAGAGGGACACTGGCGAGGCTTTCGGCTCGACATGCACGCCCTCCAACCTCTTTCTGTGTTGTTTTTTGTGAGCGATGATCGCAACGAACGGGTGTTGTTTTTTTCACGGCAGTGACGATATCTCGGCGATTTTTTACGTTTCGTAAACTGGAACGCTTACTGGCGTAGTACTGGCTGCGTACACCTCCCTTGTTCAACTACGTATCAGTCCCTGAACGGACCATGGTATCGACACAAACAACGCTGCCCTTACGTCTTCTCTTGCTCCAAAGAAACGCAGCCCTGAGAATACCAGCGGGACATGCGTCCGACCGCTAGTCCTCGGAAAAAATTTCTTGGCACGAGCATCTAACACATGAACCAAGGTCGAATTTTTTGTTTTGGTGCAATTTTGTTTTCACACCCGGGTTCTCCTCCCCCCCACCCTCCTGTGGAAAAAATGCTCTCGAGGACAACCAAGGCATGCAAAACATGAGCATGCCCCTGCCCACGCCCTCACAAATAACAACGCTAATAATAACACCATGCTTCAGGGCACCGCATGTCTATCGGGTGGGGCAAGCCCATCAACAAGCTGGCCAATGCCGTTGGCGTGGAGACCAAGATTGAGGGGCATGACGCCCCCCCTCCCGACGTGCTTGACCCTGGCCTTCCGGAGAGCCTGCAGAACCTGACCCCGGAGGCGAAGGCCAGCCTGCAGAAGGTGATGATTTGTTGCGGCGTATCATGGCCTGACTGGGCTGGCTGGTTTCGCTCTCGTGCCGCCGTTGATGCCTGCAAGAAGTGGATGGTTTGGTTGGGGGTATAATGGCCGAAATGAACTGTCTGGTTTCACTGTCATGCCTGCCAGAGGTGATTGTCGATGGTAGTCGGGGGTATCCTAGCCCGACTGACTCGCTTCCGCCATTCCTACCTGTGAGAGGTGATGGTTGCTTGGGGGTAGACTGACTCACTCTCACGCCGCCATTGGCGTTAAAACATGGGGATTTTTGTCCTCGAAACTACCGCACTAGTGGCCCTCCCTGTATTAGGCCACACGGTGCCCAAGAGGTTTGACCGGGCATTATGCCGACCTTATGCCGGGCACCCGGCACTATTCAGAGTACGAGACAGCTTGCATGATCCATCTGTGTCACGCGATTTCACTGGCAGGGCAGCGACCGGCCTTATTTATGCGGCCTTGTACAGGGACCAACGCTTTTACTGCTGTTCCTTCGTTGACAGGCTCTCACACTGCCAGTGATGTCGACCCGGGCACTCTGCATAACTGCTAGATACTGGCTTGGGGGCAACGGTTTGTTGGAAGGGGTTTTCACCCATGATGCTGAGAACCCCCGCCCACCCCCCTATTTTGTGACTCTAAGACTACGACCATAAGACCTGAGCCCCCATCCCCGGACCCCCCCCCACCCCCGCCCCGCCTCATCGGCGTGTTTTTTTTTTTCTTTGCTCTTGTCTGCGCAGATCCTGCCCACGCTTAACCCCAGCAACAACGCGGTGGCGGCGTCTCTCCAGGCGCTGACGGGGGCCAACAACTGGCTCGGCACGGTAGCCAAGTTTGGGATAAATTCGAACAACGGTGGTGCCGCCGGGGGGGCAATGGCTGGCCTGGTGGCGGGTGCTTCTGCGTCTCCCCGCCCGGGGTTGCCAGGTGATTTTGGTTGGTAAAACAACAACAAAAAACATGTTTCGTTTATGTTTCGTTTGTGGCTTAAAAAAGTACTGGTAGGATAAAAAAAATGTGGTCTTGTACGTTGTGGCTGGATATTTTGACAAGGTGGCATGCGTGTTCGTTGGTTGTGGTCAATTTTTGGCCGAGAGGGAAGGAAAACAGAAAACAGAGACGTCCGGGTGTATTTGCAAGTGCAGCTCGCGCTTCGGATGTGTGTGTGTGGGGGGGGGTTGACGCCACATGTGGAGATGGAGGTGTGATATCGTTGTGATGGTGGTGGTGGTGGTGATAGATGGTTGTCCGGGTTCAAGTGTAGCGCTGACGACGGCGTTGGTTGTGTTTGTGGTTGATATCAAATAAGCGGCGTGTGGAGGTTCGGTCTGTCTGTCGGCAGCAGTCGGGTACACATACGCACACCCCTTGGCAAGGACAAGAGGAGACGCGAACGAAGCATTTTCCTTGGGGAATGCTTCCCATCGTCGCACTCCCCACCTCTCTCTCCCTCTCGCTCTTCCCTGCGCGAATTGTGTGTAGCAGATAGATCACCCACACCGCCAAAATTGCAAACCTGGCGAATCCTAGCCTCCCATGAAATCCACCTTTTACGCATCCTAAATCCCGTCCTCGTCACAGCAAATCCCTTACACTTCATTTGTATCTGAGTGGTCACCGCATCTCTTTAACCGTACGTGCGCGATTTTTTTTTGTTGCTTTGGTTTCGTTTCGAATCCGTCCTCCGGCTGGGCTTCGGCAGGCGGCATCGGCGGCGGTGCTGCTCCCGCTCGGCCCATCCTCACCAGCAGCACCAGCGGAGGCGGCAAGAAATCAAACGGGAAAAGGTTCGCCTCATCCTCCTCCACCAAGAAATCCAACGGCGGCGGGGGAGGGGGCACCGCAGACGGCGACGGGGGGGGGGACCCTCGGTCGAGATCCAGGTCGAGGTCCGGGTCTCGGAGCAGCTCGAGGTCTTCCAGATCTTCAAGGTCTTCTAGGTCTTCTAGGTCGTCGAGATCGTCTAGGTCTTCTAGGTCGTCGAGGGGTCGGCGGTCGAGCAGCCGTGGGAGTTCGCGGTCGAGGAGCAGCGGGAGCAGCAGGTCGCGGTCGGGCAGCAGGGGGGGTCGGTCTAGGTCGCGGTCTTCGTCAAGGAGTCGCAGCAGGTGAGAGAGGGGGAGGGAGAGAGGGAGAGGGAGGGAGGGAGAGAGAGAACGAGGGAGAGAAGGAAAAAGAGAGAAAGGGAGACATTCAGACAGACAGACAGAGGCGGTGGATCCTGCCTGAACCTTGTATAGGTAGCGTACAAGCCTGCATTTGCTCAACGGTACACAGCGACGAAATGCGGCGCCGAGCCTCGACCCAAATTGTCGGTTATTCATTGCTAGCCACATGCAGTGCGCCGTCTGGCCTGTGTCTCAACGGCTATCTGCCTGTCTGTCTAACGGCTACCTGTCTATCTGTTTTTGTCTGTTCGTTGACGGCTTTCTGTTCTTCAACCGCTATCTGTCTACAAAGGGGGCGCGGAAGGAGCAGGCACCGCAGCGACAGCCGGTCGAGGTCGAGAAGCCGACGGTCGGAGGACGGGCCTCGAAAGGGGGACGTCAAGATCGAAGTGGAGGTTGGTGCTCACGTGGGACAGCAGTTGTTGCGGTCGTTGTCGTCATCGTCAGTGCTGTCGGTGGTGGTGGTGGTGGTGGTGGGTGCGGTGCTGTTGGCTGCGGTTATCGTCGTCGCCATTGTCGGGTGTCGTCGGTGATGGTGGTGACGGCGGTGCTGTTGTGGCTGCAGTTGTGGTCTTGGCCGATTATTTCTCTTGCCGAAGTGGCTCGTTGTCGTTGTGGTCGTCACTGTTGTCGGTGTCTTCGGTGATGGTGGTGACGGCGGCGCTGTGTGGCGTGTGGTGTGGCTGCAGTGGCGGTCATTGCCGAAGTAGTCCCTTGATCGGTGTGGCGGAGCGATCACTTACAGCAGCAGCAGCACATTTCTAGCACACCCATCAGCAGCGTGTGTGGATCATCGTTACTGTTTTTTGTATTTTGGGGGGAAGCCACACGTTCACGACATCCATACGATGCGTTTACATACTTAGTGTCTACGCGTTTTTTTTTATCATTTTTTGTGTGTGTTTGGTTTTGGGAGAGTCATTATGTGCTGGGCAATATACCATCTACCGGTGCCGCCCCCCCCCTCCCCTCTTCGCCAGATCCCAGCGGAGAAGGAGAGGCGCTACATGGTGGACCGCACGGCACGCTACGTCGCCAAGGACGGGCAGCCTTTCGAACAACGCCTCCTGGACCGCGAGGCTGGAAACCCTGACTTCGCGTTTCTCTTCGAGTACGAGTCGAAGGAGGGGCAGTACTACCGCTGGAAGGTGCGTGCGCGAGACGTATGTCTTCAGAAGACACATGAGAGGTTTGATGTTGCCGACCGCTCTTTGGAAGTGGAGGGACCAGACCATCGTTGTCTTCACAAGACACACGAGAGATTTGATGTATGCCGCTGTTTTTCGAAGTGTTGGGGATTCGTCGCCGTCTTCATGAGACGCATGAAGAGACTTGATATATACCGCTCTTTGGAAATGTGCGGACCTTTTGGGGTGTGCACG